AGTAAGTTTTCAAATCACTATACTAAATGAGGCTACTGATATTTAATAAAGTAAAAAATCAAATTAAAAGAAAACTGCTTATAATTACTTCAAAACAAACAGGCAAAAAAAAAAATATACTTTAAAAAATAAATGAGATCAGGCCAATTTTATGTTTAGTTTTAATCTGGTAAATCTGCTCTTTTCTGCACCTTTTCCTGCGCAAATTCAAATCCACCGTCTAACTTAGTTTGTCTAAAATCTGAAATTTTAGTTTAGTTTATCTTCTTGCTAGCGAAAAGGTTAGCCTTTAATTTCTTTGAAAGAAGAATTAGATTACGAACAGAATATATTGTGGCTACTTCAGCAGTACCCGAGAAGCTAAACGATTTGGTCAAACCAACTTGAGGCTTAATATAGATTTCCGGTTTAGGCAATAAATCAGCGAATAGGTGATCTTTTACAAAACATAGACATGAAAGTTGAAATAATTTTACAGTTACATATTGCGCTAACGCTTCAATGAAAACTTGTCTAAAAAAAAGTTTTGTTAAAATGTTTTTTGGTGACATTTCAGCTCTATTTTTGAACGAATACTGATTACGTTTAAAAAGAGTAATTGATATTTAAGTAAAGCAAAAAAAACGTAGAGAAAGAAGATAATTAAGAGCTTTTTTACAGTGCACAAGTATATCAGATGACTGTATTTGTCTCAATTTTAAAGATGATTTACGCGGTGCTGTTAATGCTGTTTCGTGGCCTCACAACCGAGTTGAAAAGCTTTTAGGAGAACAGACAAAAAAGTAATTTTAGTAAAACTAAAAAGTTATATTTTTTAAACTATTTATTTATTTGTTTATTTTTTGCATGTTATCTGTCAGTAATAACTGTGTCAAAATTTCAAGTAATCCAATGACAAACAGTTTTACAGTCGATCCTCTTTTCATTTCTACTTTTAGGTCTAAAAACAGTGTACTTTTAGGCCAACAAACCCTGTAAAAACATTTGTTCCTAAGCAAGCTTTTATTTTTATTTCAGCTTTCGACAATGCTATAACACACTGAAAGCCTTAAAAAACAAAGATAAGAAAAGAAGAAAAAGCAGATAACTTTCATTAAAATTTCATTTATTTTCAAAATAAAAAAGCTGAAATGTGGTACAGAGGATAGGCGAGAGAAGGGAGGTTGGTGGTGGTAAATTGGTTGTAATAAACAATAATTGTTGCTTAAGATCTGCCTTAAGAAACAGAAATGTCGCTGGAAGACTGATCTTAGCTGATGGAAACATTTCATACGGATAAACACTTTTGGGAATTATTTGACAGTTGTGTGTACACTGTTTTGCTGGCAATAAAAACCGAGTTTATTCTTTTCTCTAGTTCCTTTCATCTTTCTCTTTCCGGTAACCTTATTCTACTTGATTAGCAAAAAAAAAAAGCAAAAGAAAAGAAATAAAAAAAAAAAAACAAAACATGTTATTTGTTCTGTAAGTTTTGGCAACTGAAAGATCAAGTTAAAAAACTATAGTTTTTTTTTGTGACACTTATAAGGTTCTTTTTTTCTTTTGCACTAAAAATATATGCATACGTAAATATTATATTTGTTTTTGCCCTTTTAAACATATTAATTATCATAATAACAAATTTTTTCTTCGACAATCAACAATTGAGTTTATGCTGTCATAGCCAATGTCAATAGTTGATTGAACAAAAAAAAAAAAGTAATAATATTAATTTTGTGCCTAAAATTGCCGAAAACTAAACAGATTTTTGCATAATATTTTTGTTCTTGAATTTTTAATATTTTATATTCTTGAAACATGTTCAACCACTAAATAACGCTGTCAAATAAGTTCGATTGACTTTAAAAAATTGGATATATCAATTGAACATGTAGGATAAACAAAGAAAAGCACAGTTTTTGGCTTTTGACATATAACACTAATCAACAGTAAAAATTTTAATAACCTTTTCAAAAAACTTTAACTCGATTAGGTTAATAAACAAAGAACAAAAAAAGATTTCAATACTAATGGCTAATGAAGTACAGAAAAAGTAATAGAATTATTAAAGAAAAAATATAATAACTAAAAAAAATTTTTCAAATTGATATGCATCACCCAACAAATGCCGTCTTCATCACCATTACTTCGGAGTAAGCTTTTTTAACCAAATACACAAGGAAGTTCTGCAAGAAAACCTATAACATTTGGCAGTTTTGCAGGTGAAAATATCAGTATTTTAAGTTAAGTTACCGCTGAAGTAGTCATCGTAAATTTTTTTCATTTACTGTATGCAAAAACAATTACCAATACAACTGTAATAAACTTTAGACAGTTAAACCAATGAAGCTCAAAGAAACGTTTATCTTTGTAGTTAATTTCTGAGCCTAAAATAATTTTTACTTAAGCAACTTATGGTTGTCGAAAGCAGCAGAAAATCAAGGATTTTAAGGGAATTTAGATTACTGAATAGACAAATTTGCAAAACAGCGGAACTGATAGAGGGATTTAAGCGATATGACAACAAGCAGCTTCTTTTTTCTTGTTTTAATGCCAATTCTTTTTGTATAACTGTATCATCCTTTCAACAAATCACAATTAAGCGCTTACGGTCAGCAAAAATCTCTAGTTTGATCTACAAATCAAAAGTAAACCAAAAAACATTAGAAGTTTTCAAAATTTTATACCAGAAAATAAGTAAGAAAAATTTTGTTACTGGAAAAAACTGAACTTTTAATCAGAAGTAATACAATTTAGTAAAAGCTATTCTCCTTATTGAAAATAATAAAAAAAAGTAATAAAGCAACAAGCTATTTGTCATTTAAATGAATTTTACTACTGCAAAAAATCCTCAATCTGAATTGGTGTTTACACTTTTTTTCACCACTGCTCATTTTTAATATCAAAAAATTTATATATCAACTGTTGAAGAAAACGGACAGTTGTGGAGAATTAGCCGATTATAAAGTAACCTGAACAACACGCAATGTTTTTTTCTTGTTATTCTCTACTGTAATCTCAATTCTTGCAGTCTTTGGCTTAACAACTGTATACCTTTGTAACAGCATAACATTTTTTTGAAAAAAAAAAAGCCAGATTAAACAGTAAAAACGAATGGTTTAGGAAAAAAAATAGTTGGAATCGGTATTGATATTTACTGCTCTAAAAAGTTGTGATTCTGAAATTTGGCTCAGAAAACTGAAGGTAATCTTCACAAATGACCTTATCTGTGAGAAGCTGAAAGTGACCTTTGTGTTCAACAAAATTTTCGTAACACTTTCATAAAATTTTTTTAAAAAAATCATTTAAGAATTTTAAAAAAAATGTGTTTTTAGTTAGATAGATATTTTTGAAGGTAAACTAATCAATTTCACCTTCAATTTTTCCAATTTAAAAATAAATAATGTTTTAAAAGCTTAGCTTTGTTAGTTTCTATAACTAACATTGTTTTAGTTAATACGCAACGTTTAAAAATCAACTGAGCAAAAACTGTGCAGAACATTTTGTTCTATTTAGTTTCTCACCTTTAATTATAAATTTTTTAATTATTTTTTACAAAGTGTTTTTTGTTCATTTTTAGTCTTTATATTTATTAACTAATTCAAACAGCTTGAGAGAACTGTCATTTATGCTGTAAAGTTTCTAAGGTGTAAACTTGACAAAACAGTATTTTAGTGGCATGTAAAGTACATTAAACAATGAATAAAAGGCTAAGAGCAAATGTTAATACTTAACTGCACTGAAAAATTGTTCTACTTTACCCTGTTCTTTCTTTGCAGTATACTAAATTTTTACCAGAAACATTAACTTTAACGGTTCAAAATTTTTGAGTTTAGAAAGCTGTTAAAGTCGTCAGGCTTAAAACCAGTGTAGGCAAAATTTCAAACAAATATTTTTCTTGCTTTTTAAATTTTTATAAAAGTTTTAATGTTTCTATTGACGTAAACAGTAATAATATATTAAGAAAAAAATTAACGAAGACACAAAAATTACTGCCAGTATATTGTTTTTATTGGTAATTTTTGGCAATTTTCCGGTTTCCGAAAAATATTCTTTGATTTGACAGTACGAGTTATGAGAACACAGAAATCCTAGAAGTCTTAGACATTTTAGACCGGTAGTTCTAAAATAATACCTGTTTTTACAGACTGCTCAAATCACTTAAAAGCCCAGCCATCTATGGAGCTACATTTCACATCTCCTCTTCCCTCGTTTCACTATGACTTCTTTTGCTTACAGTACCGTCATTTTCACAGTGGTCATTGTTTGTTTTCAGGTATAATAATGATACTTCAACAGTAAACATTAAAAGTTTTTTATAACTACTTTGGTAATATCGGTTCTTTGCAATTGTTTTCTACTAGTATCGATAAATAAATGAACTACAGACAGTTAGATTTAGATGTAGAAATTAAATACGCAGTAACGTTTACTGAGTAAGAGCCACCGACAAAAAGCATTATCTAAAAGACTATTTATTTTTTAAGAAATTCAGAAAATTATGTTTCTAAAACCAATATAGTAAGCAAAAAATTTGTTGTTGGTGTTGCTGTCTTTTTAAATCTGCCCTTCAGTGTACGCCAATAAGAAATCCAATAGAAGAAGAAGAAGAGTCAACTGTAACTGATACTACCACTGTTATTTCTACTACCACCTCAGAGGAAGGAATTAGTTTGAAAACAGACGTAAATATTACTGGCGAAGTCAACATCAAAAAAAGGTGACTGATTTTTTTTTTGTAAAATTTGCAAGCAGAAAGCTGGATTTTTTATTTTTTTAAGGTTTAATACGTCATTATATTGCAGTTCTTTAATGAAGAGCCAAAATAAAACAATGCCTCTTTCAAAAAAACGTGGATGCAGCTTTACCACCAACAATAGCACGAGACAACGGTGTTGCAGATCGGAATGCTGCCCTTGTAGCTGCTGCTCTCAATCTACATGTTGCTGTTCTCAACCGGATTGTTGCTGTGGAACAGCATCACCGACCGCTTGTTGTACAGTACAGCCTCCTTCATCCTCATGCACAGTGCAACCACAATCAGTTTGTACTTCTGTTCAGTCAAGTCCCATTAAATGTCAAGTTCATCCACCACCGATCACTTGCGCAGTCAAAACTAAGGTGGCCGTAACGGCATCCAACTCTGGTCAACCAACATGTTGCTGCAGCATTTGTGGATCCCCTAAGTGTTGTGTTGGTCCCGTCAGCGCACCGACAGTCTGTGCATGTCAGCCTTCTTGCTGTTGCTGCAAAAGTGCTCCATGCTGCTGCAGTAAGCCAGCCTGCTGTTGCTGTTGCCAGCCCGTTCGTTGTTGTTCAGTACCCTGTTGCTGTAAACCAGTCTGTTGTTGTTGCAAGTCAGTCTGCTGCTGTTGCAAGCCAGTCTGTTGCTGTTGCCAACCTGTCGCCTGTTGCAGCACTCCAGCATGCTCTTGTTGTCCAGGATCGTGTTGCTGCTGTAAGCCAGTATGCTGCTGTTCTAAGCCTGTCTCCTGCTCTTGCACACCAGTCTGTACCTGTTATCAGCCTTTCAGTTGTTGTAGCACGCCAGTTTCCAGTTCCTGCAGTACTCCAGCTTGTAGTTGTTGCTGCACCCCTCCTTGCAGTTGTTGCCAACCATCATGCTGTTACAAAAAGCTGCTTACTCTCCGTTGTCAACCATTTCACCGTACTTGTACTCGACCTGTCTGCATTACATGCAGCTTCCCTGTATTTTATCAAAATTGTTATGATCGTTCCTTTCTTTGTCCCTGCTGCTTACACAGGAGAAAGGATTTTGGACAGTCTAGTTCAGACGCAACTAGCAGTCAAACGACAACCATTATGCCTTTCTTACAAATTAGTATTCAGTAACTACTGAAGCAAAGCGAAGCCAGATTGTATATATTTTTATCTTATGATTTATTGATTCAGGTAATTTATTAGCATTGACAGTTGCAATAAATTCTTTCCAAATTTTCTTCTGTATTTCTGAAAAGGTGCTCTCTTACCGATAGAAATAAATAATTATGCAGCCATGCTCTAATGCTCCGTATACTTCACATTAAAAACATTGCCAAATAAGGCTAAATAATTAAGCAGGCGTATTTAACCTTCGACTTAAAAGCATTTATTCGTGACCGGGTTAGTTCAGAGGAAAGTATGATTTACACTTAAAAATGAGCTTGGTAAAAAAAAAAAAAGTTATCTCGCGAAAACGAAAGGTACTGTGAGCAGTTACCAATGCTGTCGTTTGGAGACAGCAAGACCTGGAAAATGGTTTCTAGTTTGACTTTTTTTTTGACTTCAGTGGTACAAAACAGAATGAATGGCCTGTACGGGCCATTTCGTATCTAGTAGTGTGCTGCTTGTTAGCAAAGTAAAGAACCTTTCCATTGAGAGGAATAAAGATTTCTAAAAACCGTTTTAAAAAGTAACTGCAGAAGAGGAACAAAGAAGGACTACAGCAGCACTTTTTAGTGTTTTGTTCGCTTAAATTAGAAGCGCATGCAGTGAAGCTGTGCAATGTAAGTGTGACTTAAAAAGTTATGCTCTTAAGAAGAACGGTCAGAAATTACAGCCTTGAGACGAAGTCAAAGTATTTGAAAGTCACAAAATTATTGGTAAATTCACGCGCAGAAAAAATTTATTTGCACGGTTTCACTAGCAGTTCTTGGAACCTGTTTGCAGTAATAGTGTCGCCATCATCAGCAGTTCCTTATACTATAGCCTGTGTACCGTAACATTCCTCTACGCTAAGGGTTTTTGACTTATAATTTGCTTTCCTGTTAACAGCGATAGTCGCTGATGTACAGCAACAAGTACACCAAAGTCAATGTGTTTCATACTAGTATTAAATTTAATCTTTCTGCACGATCACTAAGACAAGTGGTACTAGGTTGACGACAAATGAAACTTGCTGGCAGTAATTAAGCACTTATTGTGTTCTGATACTTCTTGGACTGACATTTGCTTAGGACGTTGCATAACCTCTCGTTTTTACCAACCTTTATTGTTTAGCCACTCGCTCAAAGACTAAAAATTAAAGAATATTTGTCTTACTGTACTTAAAAACGTAAATACGGTTGGAAGAATTTTGATCATTTGTTCACGTTTTTTATTATTATCATAAGAAAGACTAATGTCCACAATATTAGATTTGGCAATCGGGTATTAAACGGTGTTGTTCGATTTGAGCGAATTGCACGCAATTTTACTGAGGCAACACTACTGAAGAAAACTAAATATTTGGGAAGAAGTCGATATATTTAAGACTTAAGAAAGCAATTCACTGCTTTAACGTAAACCTTAACTCTCAACTCTTATGTAAGATATTTTATTCAGCATCTTAAAATGCTGTTTTGGAAGTAAATTGTGACCGATATACTTTGCTTATTTAAGTGCCTCTTGGTGTCTCGACATTAAAATTAGTATATATTAACGTTTTGTGATTGTGAGTAACTTTTTTTGACAATTTTGGTGTTGAACCCTGAAACGGTGATCGAAAAAGAAAAATACGTGAAAATTTCAAAAACTTTTTTTAAGAGATTACACTTTCATGTAATTTCATTGAACGGTTTTAAATTACAACAAGTGCTTATAAGAAAAGTAGAACTATTCAAATTGTAATGCAAAAAAGTATTACCTCATACAGGTAAGCTGCTTTTAGTTCTGCTAAAGAATAGGCGCTCAACACTCTTCGGAAGTCGCTTCCACCAGGCTAGACATCACGAGGTCTAGCAGAAATAATAACTTTTTCTCTTTTTCCTTTTTCGCAATTATTATGTGCATACATATATAGAACTTGACGATTAGGGAGATGCATACACACTAGGGGAAAAAAGGTCATTTCCACGAAAGGAAAATGAGGGAAAAACACAGGGAATACGATTTTATCAGTTCTGTGACATCTTGATGCATAAACATGAAACTTAACATAGTGGCAGTTTTAAAATTAATATTTACTTCGCAATCATGTGCATATTCCTCTGCTCAAGATCTTGAGCGTGCGAAAAAGCAACACTTGGCAACTGTGCAGCACTGCAAAGAAATAACATTTCTTTTATCATAAAGAGTGATATAATGGCAATTCAAAGCATGCTGTCTGCGGAAATAAAATCTGGTCTTGTCAGAACAGCTTGGTGAATAAGCACTTTTACTGCAAATAACATTAGTTGAGATTTGTTTCACAGAATTCGAGAAAAACCTGTAATTGTTCTGTTATAAACATAGGTGACCATGAAGTGTAAAAGTAATTAGTGAAAAAATAACATTGAAACAACAATCGTCTGAAAGTTATCAATTGATTGACAACTGTGGCAGTTGCAGGTTGTTGAATTTATCTGTGCTTTTAAGTAATCAAACAGCTTTTCTAGATGGAATATACAGAGTATAAAAACTCAGTGCTAGCTGAAAATAGCAGATTTAACATTTGTTTTCATCTGTCGACCAACATGGATTTCGTCTTCGTAGGCTTTCTTCTTACCGCTTCTTGCCAATTATTAACTGTAAGCTCCAAAATCATTGTCGGTTTATTAAAATCATTCAAATCAAAAAGATTTTGCAAACAAAAGCTCTGTTTTCAAGGCTGCTCCAGTAGACTTTGGACAGAACTCAACATCGCAGCTGGTCGCTTCTTCAAAAGCTAATGAATTGGCTTTTACTAATTGTTCTGAAATTGCAGTAGGCAACAAAACCAAAAGGTTTTTCTCATTATCACTTTCAACCCTGTGTAGGTTCAAAAAATTTATGCAGCATTTTGGCACAAATATTCTTTCCAGATGTTGTTGTTGCTGTTGCTGCCAACCGTGTTGCTGTTCTTGCTGTGTTCCAAAAATAAGTGTTTGCTCTTGTTGTCAACCTTCATGTTGCTGTTGTCGCCCATCCTGCTGTTGCTGTACTCCGGCATGTTCCTGTTGTACTCCTGCTTGCTCCTATTGCTGCTGTCGCCCAACCTGCTGCTGTCAAACTGTGTGCTGTAGTCCACCAGCCTGTTGCTGTTGTCAACCTGCAACAGTTTGCTGTTGTACTCCGTCGTGCTGCAGTTGTTGCATACCGTCTTGTTGCAGCTGCTGCAGACGTAAACGACATACCCTTTCAATGATCCAGCTAAAAAACAAAAGAATGGCGTTTGGTTTGAACATGAGACAAGATGAGGGTGATTTAGGAGGCAAATAGTTCGCTTTTGCTTATCTCACATACTTTCTTCTGAACAATGTTGCTTATATTTATCTGTATAATTGTCGTTAATGGCATTAACAAATAAAGTTAAACGTTTTATTGCTGCAGCACTGTCTTAAAGCCTGTAATGCAAGTAGTCTGCATATCAGGACTTAAAAGTGTATTGTTTTACATTTTCCCAGGCCTAAACATGGCGAAAATGCATCTTTTGTATTTGCAAGATTTTTTAGTTTTTGCAGGCGCTGACGAGGCTTCATTCTTGTAAAATGGCTAAAATGTTTAGGGAATGGAATTATAGAGAAACGATTGAGTATAATAATTAGAAGCTTTACAGTTCTCGTTTTATTTTTTCTACGGCTTTAGAATTTTATTTCAAAATATGAAAATGACATAAGTCGTGCAGTTTTTTTCAGATTTAGCTAGTGAACAAGAGAAATAAATTTTAAAACAAAGGATTTTTTTTTTCATTTATTACTGGCACTTAACATCTAGTTCTCTCAAATATTCTGTTTGACTCTGGAATGATAAGTCTGTTTAATAAAATCAGAGAACTGTTGCCGTGTCAAAAATAATATCATAAACAGGTTAGAGAAATTTAGTTACTAATTTACAGCATAAGGCTGATATCTTTATTGATTTAGAAAGCTCAAATATTGTAAATGCCATTTTCTGGTTGACTGTTTATATAGAGGTTTGTAAAACTAAAGAATGGTTCAAAAAGATATGAATATAATTTGCATTAATTTCATAAAGGTCATACTGTCGTTGAGAAAAGATAATTCAGGCACACTAATAATTACAAAGCACTAACTCTAGAAATTTTATAGATTTTTGATCTCATGCTTTTAAGTTTTTTTTACCAATAATGCGTAAAATGACAAACATCTGCTTCGTTCGGTTTTCAAAATTTTCTTTGCTTTTGTATTTTTTTAGGAAAGTTAAATAATTCTTTCTTGATTTCAGTTTTATATAACTTTATGGCTTATTTAACCGCTGTTAAAAGAAAAGAAAACAAGTATTTGTTTCAACTAAACATGGTTCCTCACTTCAGTCAATTTTTTCATAATTTTTTTTCTATGACTAAATGTAAAAAACAAGTGATTAGTTAGCTTGCTTACAAGGTTTCAATACTTAGTGTAAAAGAGCAAACAAATTATTTTTTTATTGAACACTCTTTCTTTTCACTGGTGGTTTTACAGATAAATCGTTCCTTTACTTGTCAATAGTTCTCTTTTTCCTTATTTGTCTGAAGGTTTTTGTAATATAAACCTCTTTAAAAATATCTTTTATTAGTAAGGCTTCACCAGCTTTATTTTGGCACTGTTTTTCTTCTATAATTTTTCAAAGTTTTAATAATGTATTCAGTTTTAAAGTTTAAAGGTTGAGTTAAAAAACAACATGAAAATTATACGTCACAGGCGAGAAGAGATAATATGTACTAATATAGGCTTTTCATGATATTAATGTAAATTTGTTCACATAAACGGGTGAGAAACTTGAAAACGTTTAAGGAGTTTCTCAGATACGTGGTATAACTGGTTGCTTACGAAACTATATAAAACCTACTCTATCGGTTCAGCACTAGTTAAGAAATAGTCTAAGTCATGTGTTTAATACCTATTTCTATTGCCGTCTTATTTGCAACATTCTCAAAGCTGCTTCTCGTTCACTGTCAACCTTACTATTATTATTACGGCGGTAACCGTTTAACATATTCGTATCTTTCGCAGTCCATTAATGTTTCAAATTAGAATTTTCGAAAGTCTAATAGCTATTTAGGCAGGTTTCTGACTTCTCACCATTTGATTTTACAGAATGTGATGTCGACAACACGTGTAGAACTCCCAATTTGATTTGCTCAAATATAGTAAACGGTACGAAAGGATGTTGGGCGCCAGCTGAGTGTGTAGAACCTCCTCTTGGTAAAAATTTTGTTCAGTTTTTGTATTCAAAAGAAGAAACAACTCTTCTTTTATAAATCAAAAAAATGAAGTTTTCTTGATACACTTTTGAAATTGATAACCCGAGTCTAGTGAAGGGAAATAACAAAGAAAAAAAGACAGTGGAGGAATGGCAAAGACCAATTTTTTAATAGATACTTTTCATTCGGTCGTTGTAACCCATTTGCCAAAATAAGGAAAACATAAGAAAGTGTGCAGTGTTTTATTGATAAATTTTAATTTTTCTACATAAAATTTTGAAAGAAGTGCAGTTTTGCACATGCAATTATTTTGAAAAAGCTTATTTCTTTAGCGGGTGAGAAAGTTTGAAGTTTTTAAAATCAATTTTTACTATATTAGCCGAAAAATGAATCATTATCACTATTCTGTGAGCTTTCCCATGTTTTTTTGTAAAAAAAAACATTTCATACATGACGATGTTGGTAGCTGATGCTTTAAAATCTTAGAACTCTGGTTCAACGATTAAGCTTTTTAATGATTATTCAAGGTTTTCATTTTTTTGTTATCATCTGTACAAATGCACACATCTTATATCAGCTAATAGTGAAATCTATTTGTCAATACAATGTCCTTGAGTCGATTATAAAATGATAAACAGCTTTTTGATAGCAGCAGAATAGAAAAAACAAATAACATTTATTTCACAAAAGAGGATCTATTGACTTTTTTTTTTTTTTTTTTTTTTTTTTTATTTTTTTTTA